TGCCAATCCAAATAACCTGAGTCTTGCTAACATTAATCTTTAATCCGGAAATTTTAGAAAAACTGCTTAATTCATTAAGTACTTCTCTCAAAGATCTTTCAGAGCCATCTAATATAAGTGTGGTGTCATCTGCATACATGGAAATTAGGATAGGACAGTCTTTGATTTCTACACCTTTAATATTTTTGTTATTCTTTAACCTGATTGATAAAACTTCCGCACATAAGATAAATATGTATGGCGCTATAGGGTCGCCTTGACGACAACCCCTTCCAATATGAAAGAAGGATGACAAATTCCCTCCCTGATTAATAGCTGAATTGACATTTTTATGTAAAGTTTTAATCCAATTTCTTATACTATTTCCAAAGCCAAAATATTTAAAAACATTATCCACAAATTTCCAAGAGACAGAGTCAAATGCCTTCTCAAAATCAATCATAAGTAACATTCCTGGGATATTCTGATCTTCTGTATACTGCATAATATCATAAACAAGACGGGTATTTTCTCCAATATAACGACAAGCTAAAAAACCTGTTTGATCACTACTTATAACCTTATCTAAAACTGTTTTTATTCTAGAAGAAATAACCCCTGATGTTATTTTGTACACAATGTTCAATAATGATATTGGTCGCCAATTTTTCAACAAATGTCTTGGTTTATCCCCTTTTGGAATGCAAGTTATAATCCCTTGTTTTTGAGTGACAGATAACTCCCCAGAAGAATAGCCAAAATTAATTGACCGTACCACAAAACAACCTAACTGCTTCCAAAAACATTTAAAAAAATCAGTAGTAAAACCATCCGATCCTGGGCTTTTATTATTTTTCATATTTTTTATAAAAAAACGCCCAGCTTCCTGGAGTGTTATCTGCCCTTCAAGCTCTTTAGATTCATTATTTGTCAACTTGGTACATTACATTTTTTTAAGAAGTTATTAAGATCAACATTATCCACGTTATTATCCTTATACAGGCTTTCATAAAAGTTCTTAACTTTTATCAGTATATCTTCCTGCTTAACTATAATGTCTCCATTGTCCTTTTGTATTTTTGGAATAATTTTTGAAACAAAATTCCTATTTTCTAAGTTAAAAAAATATTTGGTCGGTTTTTCACCCTCCTCTACCCACTTTGCCCTTGAACGAACTATGCTACCCTTAATCTTATCTAATCTAATACCCTCAAGCTGTTTTTTCTCTGTTGCCAATGTTTCTAGATCAACAATATCTTCAGACTCCAACTTCTGTATGTTTTCTCTAAGCTCCTTCTCCCTTACATTTCTATTTTTTTTCCTATAAGATGCATATGAAATTGTCTCACCACATAGTTCCATCAATAAAGTTTCTATAAAAAGTTGATCACTTATAGTAAACTGTAAATCTTCCCCAGGTATGTCTTTCAAACAAGTAATATTATATATTGGCAGGCAGTAAAATTCTTTAACCCTTAAAATTGTTTTTTTAACTAAGTCATGATATTCAGTTTCCTGTAAAAGAGAGTTATTTAGCTTCCATAAACCCTTCCCTTTCCTAAATTCGTTCAATTTCAATGATAATATGGGATATGAATGGTCTGTTCTGTACCCTGCCTCAATACTTGAACCTTGAATACTGGTTAAAAGAGATTCAGACACAAGAAAGTAGTCTAGCCTAGCCTGTTTTATTGGGGTCCTTTTCCTCCATGTATATCTCCTAGTCTCTTCATGTTGATCCCGAAAAATATCAATAAGCCCATTATTCTCGGAAATTTCTAACAGTTTATTCCTAGCCCTTGGGTTGTTAATATTCTTGTAGCTGTTATCATAATCTAACTTAGGGTTAAGAACACAGTTAAAATCACCANAAAAAAATCTGGGCAGTCTTGATTCGGACCATACACAGTTACGAGAGTAGTTTTTGTGCCTTCTATTATAGTATCAAGCGCTAAGAAATTTCCAGAATTGTCCTTTTTTTCCCTTAAAATCTTAACTTCAAAATTATTATTAAACATAATAGCAACACCCCTAGCATTTGACCTAAAGGAATTGAAAAAACAATCACACCCCCATTCATTTCTAATAGCATGTTCATTTTCCTGAACAAAATGCGTATCTTGTAAACAATAGATGTTGTAATTTTTTTCCTTCATGTATGCGAAAACGTCTTTCCTTTTTAACTTATCGCCCAGACCCTGACAATTTGCTGATAACAATGTTATTCCATTCACGTTACACCGCTGTCATACACGTGACGTTTTACCCTTGATAGTAAGTCTGGCATCCCTGTGAGTAAAGAAAGAAAAAGAAGGAAGAAGAAAGAAAAACCTAAAATCATATGTTTGAGTTCAAATAATGTTATTAATATCGGATATGCGCTGAAATGATTGTTTCTGTGATGAAAGGATCTTGAGTTTGTTGCCATTAATGTTTTTGTGATGCTTTTTGTAGTTGTAATGAATAATACTGTGTTTTTGTATGCTCAATATTACAATGTATAACAAAGAAATGTACATGTACCCGTTTATTTTATGTGTTCTTTGGGGTAATAATGATGAGTAGCCTGCTTAAAATACTGCTATTCTTTCGCATTCGTAACGAATGTGGATGTACATATACCGGTCAGTTGTAGATGGTGATGATTTTTTACGGAAAACTTACTTTTTTTTCTTTTTCAGTGGCAATGAACGCAGAGATGCGGTTTAAGTATGTAGAACTGATGTACGAGAGGATGTCTCTGACACCTCGGGAGAAGACACGACTCTCTACTTTGAACAAGTCAGCTCTGTATCTCAGCCTGGCGGCTGCCTTCGGACTCCTTATAGTGGCTAGCTTCCAGGTAACACAATCTGACCCAGTAGGATTTATAACCCGGATAGAACTAATTATATAAAGTATGTTCAACTTTTTAAGTTCTATTTCTTAGAACTCATTTACATTTTCTGCTCAAACGTAGGATATGATAAAGATATTTGTCAGATTTAAAGAATCCTATTTTGACAGGAAATTAAAAGAAATCTCATTACATTTATTAAAAGTATATGAAACAAATACAATTAAAAATAGGGGAATCACGTCGTTAGTGAGTTAGCTGTACACACATCGATCCGATTTGTGACCGGTTGACACAATCATTCTTGGCTTTTATCTAGTCTATGTCAGGGTCTATGTCTGTGTCATCAAAATTGAGTCCAAATTGTCTGGCACGACTCGGCCTGAAGGTTGTAAATTGCGGTAATTTGGCAGTCTGTTCCTTCACTTGTTCTAAAAAGACCTATCATCCTTAAAGAAGTCCCCAGGATACCCTTCAAGTCTCTCGTGTTTGACAGGGAGCATTAGGAAGATGACCAGTCACAGGGTTAGACAATTAGTTAAATTCAATATGTCTCTATCCGTCTTAAACTTTTACCTAATACCAAATGAAGGAACATTCGGTAAACTATCATTGGTGAACTGGAGCGTCTCAAAAACACAGACATTATATCGGTTTTCAATCCTTAACTCGGTGTTCGTAAAACATACAAAGATTACCTTGCAAGGGTTTTTCTCACGAAAACCTACCGTCTTATCATTTCTTAAACCTATCATGTAATCGGCAGATGTACTGTGAAACACGCACATATCTAAAGGGATTGATTTGTATAATACAACTTCAAAGGAAAGCTGTATACGACGTTTTTATCTGATCAAGGTCTACTTAACGCTTTATCACATTGCTTCACGAAGTGGGAGGTATTTGGTGTTTGCTTCGTCCGTGCATGCGTGCTTATGTGCTTCTTCCGTCAACTTTTCCTTGAACAGACTACTATTCCTAAACGGCTTAAGAGATATACGCTAAATTTAGCATGGATCCTCCATGGACCATTGTTGTATAACTGAAGTGTTTGCCGCACCCCGTCACTCCATCAACACACCCACTGGTGTGAAAAGGGCGAGGCAGATTCAAGGTCTAGACGTTACCGATGAAGGCACCTGAGATCACAAAGCTTAAGTTTTGGTTCGATACCCTCTTTTTATCAGTTTCGCTTTTTTTCAAGTAAGGGAGATCAACAATAATACAGAAAGTTGTGTTAGTGTTCAGTGTAATTTAAACTAGTTAAAAATATTTATCTCTTCTTTTGAAAATATTTGTCATTTTCATGTCAGAAAAAACAGTTTCTACCACAATACGCTGTGTTATTCCACTCTCAGGTCATTGTATAAACATGCAGACTGTTGAATAAATAGGGAGCCTGAAGTTGGTTCCTAGTTCCTAGTTCCGTTTAAGATAAACGGAACTGGGAACCAGACCCTAGTTCCGTTTATCTTAAACGGAACTAGGAACTAGGAACCAACTTCAGGCTCCCGAATAAATATTAGTTATACACCACACGTGCTATATGACCTATCGTAGTTTTGTTTGGTCGAGAAGATGAACCTTGACCGGACGACTTTTTTCACGCGCTTTTTGCCGCGGGTTGTTTTGTTTACGTCGTCTGCTGTCAACATCCGGCAAATGTTGGTGACTTTTGTGAGGCAATGCGATGGGAAAAGGAGGTTATTATGGCAATACCAGAAGAAGATGATGCTTAAAGACTTCAGGCAAAATTGCTACAGACGCTCGATATCGTTTCGTCCAGGTCGTGAAACCCAGAGACGTAATATATATGTCTCTGTGAAACCCAAAAAATATCTGTAACAGTGTCGGAAAGTATTTCGTTCTCCCCATGTCCCGTCATCAATATTTGGAAGGTCTGTCTATGGCGGAGCTCTCACTATAAACGTCAACCATAGAACCTGTCGAAGAAACGTCCCAGGCCTATGGTTTTGGACATTGACAGCGATAAGCTCGTCTTCATCACTGTGGGAGGCATGACTTCGCACGATATGCTTACACGCATATAGTCCGTGGTTAATTTATATTAATTAATGCAATATTGCATACTCTCAATATCTAAAGTCGTTCATCTATTTAATTTTTTTCACGAAGTTGCTGCCGAAACATTAATTTTGAAAATTATTAAAGGACCGGTTTCCAAAACGGCCCCTTCTCTGATTCAAATTTCCTGTTGGTGGTGCATTGCCCATGCCGTTGTGGTCACAAATCTATAAAGTATAAAGATTTAGGTCACTTGGTTTGTTTTTTATGGCTCCTCAAAGTTGTACCTTTCAGAAGCTGTCTAAGTGTTGATAAAATGTGCATGTTATGTAAAATATTAATGAAAATCTAATCAAATGATGGTCACCGTAAAGAATACATTCATGGCATGATTGTGACAAAAAATCATGTTTCCATCGCGCCATTTGGCTGTTTTATGGAAGAAACAATCTCAAAAATGCCATTTTCGATGATAACATTTTAGACACAAAAACTGTGTTTTTTAGAGAATACACCCTTTTATGGGCGTTGGATGCAAACCAATTTTTATCCTATTAAACAGTACGTAATATGCTATTGATGAGAGGAAAAATCATCAAAATGTAAGTGGTGGAACATTTTCAAATGTTGGGTTGAATTAGCCTATGGTTGAATTGCCGATTTTCGACTTTCTTTAGATAATTAACAAAAAAACGAGAGTATTTGCTCGGTATGTTGAGAATATGTACACAGATATGAAAAAAAGTGAGAGAAACACTTTTTCATAAAAAAAATCCAAGATGGCTACTTCACAAGTCCCCGTGGTTGAAGACATTGGCTGACAAATAGACAGAACAACAAACAAAACGTGTTCCTTATGATTTTGGTTGGTTTTCGCATTTACGGGAGTGTTCATAGCTACGGGCGATTGTATAATACCTATATTTATAAGTTTGGTTAGTCACATGGTAACGGGGATCTTTCATATCGAGCCCCAAACATACTTTCGACATATGCACTCCGTTGCCGCATGGAAAACTATTTCAAGTTTTGTCGGAATTTCTTTACCTGTGGTTGTAATGGTCGAGGGTTTTCCAGCGTCCTGTAATACCCAAGGTAGTACAAGATACTGGAGATGTGCGCACACATTCCCATCGTTCTCTCTCCAACTGGGCACTGGCAGTAGTAGTCCTTTATTGGGGCCTCAACATCGGGTGAAACGGTGAACCGTATCCAAACGTTATATTTCGTTTGGCTTTTGTGTCGAGAATGTATTTGACATCGGAGAAGGTCTGGGGAGTGCTGGTAAAGCCACACCTCATAGTCTCCGTCATCACTTAAATGTTCGGCGATGTAACCAGGAGCCAGAGATATCTGATACGTTCCACACGTAATGGTTCTCAAGTAATCAAGATCGAGACGGGGAAACAGTACGGAAGATGCATCCATCTTGACAAACTCGGACCTTGCCCGTCTAGATAGATCCGGATCTGTCTTGACTCTCTGAGCTAAACCATTCGGTGTTGTCAAACGGTCCTTCATACGTTCAGCCATTAGCCTATCTTTGGCATCTCTCTCTGGAGATCTCTGGTAGATCGGTCCTCTAATACCATTCAGACAGGCTGTGACGGTTCGAAGCAAAGCCTCGATGACATTGATAAAGCTGTTAGACACCAATTGCGTTCGGAAGAACGTCCAGTGTTTCAGACGACCATGATAGGATTCCACAATCCACCTCGATTTGGTGATAGTTCTGTCAAGATTTGCTTGGACGTCAGAATGTTGACTTTGACCGGGTTTCAGGTATGACGGCATGCTAGCATTGAGGCCAGAGGCTTCGAGAACTGGTAGGACATCTCTAAAACCTCGGTCAACGACAACGTTGTCGTCTGGTTGTAGCCAAGTAACTAGCTTGTCCATGACTTTTTTTGTAATTGTAGCATCATTTTCGCTGCCAGTGAATGGTCCTACTGTGTCCAGAATGTAGCCATCTGGTAAGGCGATGCTCATGAATTTGAGATAGTTTCTCTTCTTCTGGCCACAGTAGGACATTCTCTGGAGCTTGTGGTCGGAGCTTTTCTGGATATAAATATAGGTGCCATCTAATATGGCAGTGGCTTTATCTCCAAAAAATGCTTCTGAAAAGACAGTATTGTGCCCGAGCAACTGTTCTCTTGTCAAGTGATCCGGACCTAGAAATTGTGGGACTATCGATGTGTCTAATGCCTGTACTATGGAGTGGAAAGTTTTGGACACACTTGACTTGGAAATTCCAAAAAGAGAAGAACACTGACTCCAGGAAATGTCGGTTTTCAGTTTTACCCAGAACAGTAATAGAGCATCGTGTGTAGTCTTGGTATATATACCAGATGAAAGATATGGGGAACAGTGCGAGTGGATTTCGAGGAACTGATCTTTGGACCAACCTGTCCAGGCCATGCATGCCGAGTCATCAAGAGAAGAAAAGCTTATTGTAAACGCAGACTGGTTCTGTGAAAGGACGTGCGACACCTCTAGGAGGTCATTAATGATTTCGGACGATTTTGATGGTAACTGAGATTCCAAGGAACCTCTACCATCAAGGACAACCTCTGTAGACGGATCTAAGTCGTTACCAATAAGGTGAATGGAGCAGACGCGGGATGAGGTGGGACACCACAGTTTGTGTGAATAGATCAGGTGATGTCTTGCACGTTTTGGTAAGACTGATGATTTTGTTCCATTTCTTGCAAAGGTAACAAGACAGAGACAGCATTTTTTGTGTGAAGATGATCCATTCAAAAGATCATGAAGGGTCAGCAACGGCAGGATATGGGACGGGGAGTCGTCTTCTTCCCTCTATTTCCTGGTTCTGCTCGGGTTCAGGTTCAGGCTGATTTTGTTCCGAAGATACTTCATGTAGCACTTCTGGCAAATAAGTGCTTGTTCCTTTGCTGACATCAATCCTTGTTGCACCAGCGTATCTAGGAGCCATTTATATTGTGGACTATTTACATTGCGTG